TTTTGTAGTCTTTTTCGTTCTTTAACCTCAGCTTTCACATCATTTCTCAACAATATCTTTAGAAGACATCATATGTGAAAATTTTGTTTGAAATAATCTCAGTGATTGACATATAATTTTCACATATAATGACTTCTCTATACTCGGCGCCTAATTTCTGTCAAATTACTCGTCCTAATCTTGACGAATATTCGTATAAGTATCTTTAGAATTTCTCATATTGAAAGTTGTGGGATCCTTTTATTCCACTTAGTTTGCCTCTGTATATGAATGAACTTTAGTGGTATTGGTTCCTAACCACACGATCTTTGAAGCTGAACATACAACTACCAATAGTACTCGCTTTCAACAAGTAGTCGGATGGTATTACTCAGTCTGGCAGTTATGGTTATTTCACATAAGATATTGTAACAACTTAGGTTGCTTAGTTAAGAGTTGACCTCAAACAACTATGTTTCAAAACAATAGGACTCAAGTATTCATTCACTTCCTTATTCTGCATAGACATTATATTTCCTATAATCTTGTGTTGAATTTTGAGAAGTTTTGTGTGTTTGAATAGGTAACCTCCCGCCGCACTGTAACTGTTCAACGACCTAAATAGAAACTTATTCTCTACTAGTCTGGTTTCTATCGATAGAATGAGGGTTACTCATCGTCCTGAACATGTGGTAGATTATGTAGTCACATCAAGACAAATCTACAAATTTATGATCAGGTCTACTATTATAACAGTACCATTAAGAAAATAGACCATAACTCTACGTAGCAACCTTAACGAACCATTTTAACAGACCAAACCAGTCATTGTTCATCTGAATGTCAAGCCTTATGAACACCTTCCAAACATCTCTAGTTTTATCGTAAGTGCTTCCACACTGTTCAAAGTCTGTATACATAAACATATACTAGTGCTTTTCTGAACTCCGCCTGGAGTCCCTCCGGGGGCTACTGCCGTTCTTAAGCCCGGATAAAAGAGGAGGGTTGGGCATGGGGTTAGCGTCCCCATCCCGTAGAAAACTAACTCGCTAAAAAACGCCAACCAGAAAAAATTATTCAAACCTTTTACACTCTGCCCTGGGAGTCAGAAGGTCTTCATTTAGAATAACTACGACGCCTCATGATGAAAGCCGAATTCCTTCGGAAGTTACGAGGCCGATGCCCCTTCTGACAACCAGGGCAACCATTTATTTAGGTACATGGAATGTTCGTACAATGTGGGACACCGGAAGAGCCCTCCAAATTACTGTAGAAATGAGGATATATAACCTAGAGTTGCTTGGAGTCAGTGAAACACATTGAACGCAAGTTGGACAACAACGACTAACTTCAGAAGAGCTTCTGTTATACTCCGGCCATGAAGAAGAAAATGTTCCACATACACAAGGAGTTGCATTGATACTGTCCAAACAAGCACAAAATGCACTTATAGAATGGGAATCTCATGGACCAAGGATCATCAAAGCCTCCTTCAAAACAAAGAAAGAGGGCATTTCAATGAACATCATCCAATGCTATGCGCCTACCAACGACTACAATGAAGACGCTAAAGATCAATTCTACAATAGGCTGCAGTCAATCGTCGAGAAGTGCCCAACAAAGGACCTGACCATTCTGATGGGAGATTTCAACGCCAAGGTTGGAACGGACAACACTGGATATGAAGACATCATGGGACGACACGGACTGGGAGAAAGAAACGAAAATGGTGAGAGATTTGCAAATCTATGTGCCTTCAATAAGCTGGTCATAGGCGGCACCGTATTCCCACATAAACGCATACACAAAACCACATGGACTTCATCGGATCACACCAAGCAAAACCAAATCGACCATATTTGCATCAACAAAACGTTCTGGAGGACTAAAGAGGACGTGCGAACCAAGAGAGGAGCTGATATAGCATCAGATCATCACTTGCTGGTCGTCAAGATGAAATTGAAACTCAAGAAGCACTGGACAATGGGGCGGACAATATCACAAAAGTTCAATACGGCCTTTCTTCAGGATACTAACAAACTCAACAAATTCAAGTTAGCCCTCAGCAATAAGTTCCAGGCCTTTCGTGATCTACTCAATGGAGAAAGAACTACTATGGAGAGCAACTGGAAGGGGATCAAAGAAGCAATCACTTCAACATGTCATGAGGTCCTGGGTCACAAGAAGCACCATCACAAGGAATGGATCACTGTTGATACACTGGATAAGATTCAAAAAAGGAGGAACAAGAAAGCAGCAATCAATACTAGCTGAACAAGACCAGAAAAAGCCAAGGCACAAGCTGAATACACAGTAGTAAACAAACAAGTGAAGAGGAGTATCAGAACCGACAAACGTAAATATGTGGAAGATCTAGCAAGGACGGCGGAAAAGGCTGCAAGAGAAGGAAACATGAGACAATTGTATGACACGATAAAGAAACTCTCTGGAAATCGCCGCAAACCAGAACGACCAGTGAAAAGCAAGGAAGGCAAGGTAATCACCAACATTGAAGAACAACAAAACAGGTGGGTAGAACACTTCAAAGAACTCTTGAATCGACCAGCTCCACTGAACCCACCCAACATCGAAGCAGCACCCACGGACCTCCCAATCAATGTTGGCCCACCAACAATTGAAGAAATCAGCATGGCCATCAGACAAATCAAGAGTGTCAAAGCAGCGGGACCGGACAACATTCCAGCAGAGGCACTGAAAGCAGACGTAGCGGCAACTGCAAGGTACTCCACATTCTCTTCAATAAAATTTGGGATGAGGAACAAGTACCAAAAGACTGGAAAGAAGGACTTCTGATCAAAATACCGAAGAAAGGCGATCTCAGGAACTGTGATAACTACAGGGGCATCACTCTTCTCTCAATACCGGGAAAAGTCTTCAACAGAGTATTGTTAAACAGGATGAAGGACTGCATAGACGCCCAACTTCGTGACCAACAGGTAGGATCACGTAAGGATAGATCGTGTACAGATCAAATCGCAACTCCACGGATCATTGTGGAACAATCAATTGAATGGAATTCATCACTATACATCAACTTCATCGACTACGAAAAAGCATTTGATAGCGTGGACAGAACAACACTATGGAAACTTCTTCGACACTACGGCGTGCCTCAGAAGATAGTCAATATCATACAGAATTCCTATGATGGATTATACTGCAAAATCGTGCATGGAGGACAGTTGACAAAGTCGTTTGAAGTGAAGACCGGTGTTAGGCAAGGTTGCTTACTCTCACCCTTTCTCTTTCTCCTGGTGATCGACTGGATCATGAAGACGTCAACATCTGAAGGGAAGCACGGGATACAATGGACATCTAGGATGCAGTTGTACGATCTAGACTTCGCAGATGATCTGGCCCTTCTATCCCAAACGCAACAACAAATGCAAGAGAAAACGACCAGTGTAGCAGCAGCCTCAGCAGCAGTAGTTCTCAATATACACAAAGGGCAGAGCAGGATTCTCCGATACAACACAGAATGCACCAATCCAATCACAATTGACGAAGATTTGGAAGATGAACAAGGTGGATCTTATGCAAATGTGAAGGCGCGGATCGGCAAAACACGAGCAGCATATTTACAACTGAGGAACATCTGGAACTTAAAGCAACTGTCAATCAACACCAAGGTCAGGATTTCCAATACAAATGTCAAGGCAGTTCTACTGTATGGGGAAGAAACCTGTAGAACTACAAAAGCCGTCATCCAGAAAATACAGGTTTATTAACAGTTGTCTACGCAAAATACTTCAGATCCGTTGGCCGGACACTATTAGCAACAACTTACAGTGGGAGAGAACAAAGCAGATCCCAGCGGAGGAAGAAATCAGGAAGAAGCGCTGGAAGTGAATAGGACACACATTGAGGAAAGCACCCAACTGTGTCACAAGACAAGCCCTCACATGGAATCCTCAAGGCCAAAAAAAAGAGGAAGACCAAAGAACACATTACGCCGGGAAATGGAAATAGACATGACAAAAATGAACAAGAATTGGATAGAACTAGAAAAGAAGGCCCAGGACAGAGTGGGTTGGAGAATGCTGGTCGGCAGCCTATGCTCCATTGAGAGTAACAGGCGTAAGTAAGTAATTAAGTGCTTTTCTGACGTCCAAGGTGTTTTCTAACTTGGTTTACTATCTGTGGTGGACATTTGTTAGGCATGCATGGTTCTAAATATGATGGCGAATTGAACGACACCAAACTAAGTGTACCTTGAAATATAGACCATGCTTCTCCAATGGATTTGATAGTATTTACTGAGCTGACCGTTAATTCAGCTCACTCTCTATGGTTGTTATGTTTGCTATCCACATATTTTGGTGAGGTCTAGCCTGATCGTATATCATACCACAAACTCTGAACATGAGTGGTAAAACAAAATGACCGATATTTGTTGATAGTGAAAGAATATTTAGATAGGGAATGTCCTCGATCACATTAGAAGTATATAAGAATACACGTTGTATTAGTAAAACAAACCAGTTTCATGAGAAAACCTGCGTTTGCACACCATTCAATAAATTGATTTTTACCCTGTGTTGAAGATCCATTCACAAGGATCGGATGTTTCTGCACTTGGATATAGTTATCTACAAAGCAGTCAAACTACCCTCAACTTACACTTTGCAATTTATAAAACGTCTTTAAAAAATCTCTCGAGACAAGAAAAAATGTGCTCAGCATCAGAAGTCTAAATTGTTCACTTATGTCAACCGAAACATTGGGGAAACTGAAAGCTTGACCGATAGCGCTAGACATTCCTGTGTGAACGTAAATAAACAGCTCCTTGAATTACATGTCATAGTTTTTGCCGACGTTACGTTATTTTTGAATGTAATGAAATCTTTAACTTTCCAATAGACAGGCGCTTAAGCATGAATGTAGTTTCAGCATTAAAAAGGACAATAACATCCCTAATATGGTTTTTAACGACTGTTTTTAAGTCTTTCAAACTTCAAAAACTACTTATGCGAACACTACGTATTCATACAAGTTAACGCGCAACCAGTCCTGAGCACTTCAAATACGGAATCCCCGTTCAGAACTACGCTACTCAAGGTCGTGGAGATAGATCTGACCCTGACCTAGCTTTTCATTCATCCTGACTTTTCAAGCTTAACAGATATCTATGCTGGACATGTCGAATCTTACAGACTTCCAGATTACAAGATATAAAAACATTCAAGAAGACTATTAAACCGAGTAGATCGAGTGCAGTCAAGTAGTCAGAATACTGCCCATTGGACGTTATTAAGGACCTTGAACGGTACCAAAACATCAAGGAGTGAGCTCCGTATGAGATTTTCTCAGGTGTTTACATCTAATGTCAGAGCTGTTATTATTGGACCTCCTGGTTCAGGAAAGGCTACCATCTCTTTGCGTTTACAGAAAGACTTTGATTTGAAATATATCTGTTGTGGAAATATGCTAAGAAACCATGTTACTTTAAAAACAGGTATGCAGATCTTCCCATGTATGTTTTATATCTTAGATATTGGGAATCAGGTAAGCAGGTTTGTCCAGAATGGTTCACTTGTTCCCGACGGTTTAGTCACTAAAATGATGATTGCTGAGTGTCAAAATTATGCAAGCGATAACTTACTCATTGATGGATTTCCGAGAACTATGATACAAGCTGAAGACGTTCAAAAACAACTTCCTGTCAGCTGTGTTATTTGCTTAGATGTACCATTTGAAGAAATCATAAATAGAATCAGTGGGAGATACACTCATGTCCCAAGTGGTAGGACTTACAATGATAATTTTAACCCTCCAAAGCGCAAAGTTAGTATAATATGACCTTGTAAACTATATTACTTGATAGCTTTTACCCATTGCTATTATTATGTATCTTTACATTTAATTTTTGTGACCAATAGGGCTTGGATCTTTAGTACCTTTGGGTTTACTGATAAGTTGTGTGTGTAATGAATTTCCCGTTTTGATCATCATCGTCCATGTAGATTTAAGTTCATTAGTCCTAACTTTTGCAGATTTTCCGTTCTTATGAGTTCAGAATCAACCGTAAGTTTATTTTGTCTCGTTTCCAAGAGGGTTTGGTAAAAAACACTGGTTAGTCTTTTCCCCTGAGTCATGAATAATTGGGCTCGAAACAGTACATAATCATATACTAGGTAAATGAATTATGTAGTAATCTTTGCTGTCATGATGCTGCCACAAAATCATTACAGTCTACACGGTCAGTTGGCAAGTCGGTCTATGATCCTCGTCAACTGAAGTGATTAGGATGTGTATTACATATGCTTAACTACCATGCTTACTTTAAATACGTTGAAAGCAAGTTACGTATAATCAAACTAAGACAACCTTAGCTCATGAAGCCATTGATTGTTGGTTGATTCGGACTACTTGATTGAGGTGCTCGTGATAACTGCGATCAGTGGTTGGAGACTTTGGGCAATAAGATGTTGCATCGTCCATAATTGCACAGATGCGTTCACTGCTTATCTTCTTGGTCTTGAGTTCCAGGATCTATACATACATGCCTTTTCCACTCTGCCTATCAGGGCCATATTCTTATTGTTCAATCTGTCACCGTAAGTATCATATTATTTCGATCGCTTTGGCTGTTCATCTTTTCGTAATATTATGGTAAGACAACTGGGGCCGGTATACATCTTTGCCAGGTTCTACGTTGATAGTGACTGACTGACACTTAGTACTAGAATCAATTATCTTCCTGTCAGATCACCACCTTTATAAGGCGTTGAAGAGACACTAGAGAGTTAGAGACACTAAATAATATGCTTGGATTTGTCGGTTGTATACTTCTAAATCAGTTAGGCGTTAATGTACAACAATCCTTTAGTAGGTTCATGGAAATTAGTGACGGGACGTCTCACTATAAAGATTTTCTTCCTATGTCTTGTTATGTGACAACTCACTCATCAATTTATATTACTAACACTTGTGAGATAAAATGCTACTACTTCTCACTGTATATTGACCATACCAATACCATAAAATTTTTTGAATTTTAATTTTTCGGTAATCTTAACAATTCTAAAAACATACCATTATGTGCTTGCCGCTATTTCGATGTCAAAAAAATTTAGTGGGTGTATTTAGCAATATTATAAGCGTCTTGGATCCAACTCATTTAGTGAGCTCAAACAGTATTTCTGTCACTTAGTGATGAGCAGTCTTTCCTTCACTTGTATGTAAGGCTAGCCAAATGTATGTTCGATCTTCCTAAATATAGCCACTACTTTGTGGGGAAATATCTTTCAGTTGGGGGTTGAATTTAAGCTTTACGAGGACAAGGTAATTACTATTGTCATTCACAAATGGTTCTCTTATTTTAATTCTGACCACAGAAGAATACCGGGATTACCTGGAATGCTGTCTTATCCCTAACTTCATTTCACTAACCGTAAATATTCGATGTTCCGTAAATTAGACGAAAATAGTATGTAATCCGATAACTTTTTATTGTGTCAGCTTAAGCTTAACAGATAAGATGTTGAAACAAGTCATCCAATATAAATGTGTTACAGTTCCGTTGCAGTCAAAACCGGGCTGCGTTTACGGGGTTTTATGTTTATAGTTGCGTTCGTCTCCAATTTCCTGTGTTCATATTGGAGAAATATAGTCATCAGTTTATAACTTAATGTAACCTATGAAGCATCCTCCTTTATCACTACTTTTATTTTGAAAATAGGGATTTGATGATGTGACTGGAGAACCTCTAATACGCAGAGATGATGATGACCTGATAACTGTTCGTAAACGTTTGGATGTTTATCAACTTTCTACTTTACCATTGCTTGATTATTACGGGTACGCCAACTTCGACGTTTTCTTTTGGAAGTGTTTGTAATATGTTAGAGCAATTATTTTACTTGTAGTTTTTATTGTAAAGCGTATGCAAATTGTTATTTAATACTTGATTGAAACAAGTTAATATTTTTAATTTATAGTTTGCAGTACAATTAAATAATAGAACCGAATAATTAAAATGTAATAGCGTACTCAATTGTGAGCAATCTTGTGTAAGAGCTACCTTGAGTCAAAGATCCTACCCCCAATGAAATATAAGCTAATTTGAAACCTGAAACCTTCAGTATTTTAACTATCTAACTACTCAAAAATGTCACTCCCAGTTGTTCATTGTTCAGTGTAACACTATTGGAGTAAACAGTATTACGTGGATTCATTATTCAATGTAGTTGATGTATATTTGAAAGCTAATCATACAATACTTATAAATCTAGGATGTTAATTTCTGTACAATTTTGACTAATAATGGTTTATTTTTTTAACTCTTCAATTAAATAACCATCATATGCTACCGTATGTGTCGATTGTTCTTTATAATCACTTGACTGAATCGTGGTGTAAAGCTGATAATTTATATTTGATTTAGAACAACATATATAAGCGAACAATATTGCTTTCGATTAGATCCTCATCAGACTTTAATATACAGTAATACTTATATGCATATGCAAAATTATTAAACCAATCAAGGTAGTTTATGAGTCAATGATGACAATGGGAAAGATTACATAATAAGTGGAAAGTACAAATTGATATTGATGACAATAATGAAGGCTTAAATCAATGTTGCATAACCGGAAGTGATTAGAAAAATATAGACAGTGAGATAACATTTATAAAAATTACAAGATTACGTAATAAGAAGTGTTCAGATAATTGGATCGTGAAACGTATATTTGAGAGAAAATAAAATAAAATGGTACGAGGCGGTGAAGAGAAAAATAATAAACGAAGAGAGAGTATGGAAAATAATAATAGATAAAATCATTTATTGAGGTCAAGGGAGAGATAAGGGTGTTACAAATTTCTTATGAACACATGACAAAAGTCCTCTTGTGACAATCACAGAGGAATCAGTTTGACTAATATAGTGTCTAAAATATTAGCTTCAATAATACTTCAACGCCTAACCAAAGCTTGTGAAGAGCGAACTAGAGAAAATCAGGCCGGTTTTCGACCTGGACGTGGTTGTATAAACCAAATATTCACACTACGTCAGGTTCTAGAACACAGACACACGTTTAGACGCCCCACAATGGTAATATTTCTCGACCTTAAGGCGGCATTCAACTCGGTTGATCGTAAGGTTCTATGGCAGTGTATGTCACTGAAAGGAGTACCATAGAAGTACATTAACCTTATTCAGGCCCTCTACTCGAACACAACTGGTAGAGTGAGAGCTTATGGCGAACTGTCATCAGAATTGATTACCTCAAGTGGTGTTCGTCAGGGCTGTCCACTCTCTCCTTTCTTGTTCAACTTTGTCGTCGACGTACTTTTAGAGATAACACTTTCCTCGTCTAGATTTCCAGGGGTTGAACTTCTAACAGGAGGTTCACTTGTTGACTTAGAATATGCTGATGACATAGTTTTATTTGGCGAAGACGCTGACAAAATGCAGAGTCTTCTGACAACTCGAAGCAACAATGCAAGCATGTTCGGGATGCGATTCTCCCCCCTCGAAATGCAAAATGTTGCTTCAGGATTGGGTTGCATCGACACCCGAACTAATGATAGGGAGTGAAGTAATTGAGCGTGTCGATCGCTTCACTTATCTTGGAAGTCTCATCAGTCCTTGTGGTCTGGTGTGTGACGAAATCTCAGCACGGATACAGAAGGCTCGACTAGTCTTTACCAACTTGCGTCATTTATGGCGTAGGCGAGATATCCGTCTATCAACCAAAGGACGGGTTTACTGCGTAGCAGTTCGTTCCGTCCTGCTTTATGGAAGTGAAACATGGCCGGTAAGAGTAGAGGATATTCGTAGACTACTAGTATTTGATCATAGGTGCCTTCGAAATATTGCTCGTATATCCTGGGACCATCGAGTAAGTAATGCAGTTGTTAGGAAACGGGTACTAGGTAAAGATGGCAAATCAATTGATTAAGTGGTGAAACTTCATCAGTTGAGATGGCTGGGACACGTGTTACGTATGCCCAACGACCGACTGCCTCGACGTGCGATGTTCAGTGGTATAGGAGTAGATTGGAAGAAAGCTAGGGGCGGCCAGACAAAACATGGCATAAGTTCATGAAGTCACCGACAAGAAGACTGAGTCATGTTGGTAGGTGTAGACTACCTAGTTGGGGACCGCGAGATGATAGCAACCGATGGTTAAAGACCCTGAATGACATGGCTCAAAATCGTTTGCAATGGCACAGATGCATACAGTCTTTGTGTTCTCCCAAATCTTGATCTCCTTATTCCTCCTTGTCTCTTTTTTTTTCTCTCCCCAAATTTATTTCACTGTATTATACTCTTTAAGTAACATCTCCAAACACTAATCTTCCCGATTACTGCTTATACTCTTACTACATCTAGCACTACGAGATTTGAATCGACCACCGCATCTCTGTGCTAATGTGGTGTGGCAACTCGAACTGATGTACGTATGTACGAAGTTCTACGTTGTTACTGACTGACTGACGTATGAACACAAAAAGTTGTTGGCTCGAATTCCTATAGCTTCTGCTATGCGTAAGAGACGAGATCGAAAACTATAAGGGAAACTAGTAAGAATACGATAAATAACTTTAAAGGACTTATTTCTGTCTACCACATGACCGTTATCGATCAAGTGTGACAGAACCGGACTGCGTATCGTCCTAACAGTACGTTTTCCTAACCACGAAGGTAGGTGTTCACTAACTCTTTGGTTCAGTTGCCTGGTAGTGCGCCCAATATAGCTTTCTCCACAAGATCAGCTGAATTCGTAAATACACATAGAAGTAGCATAACCAGGTAACTTATCCTTTAGTTGGGGAATCACCATAGATCGGGTCGAGTACGATAGACAGAGGTTGGCTACATTAAATGTTCTCTTCACTGCTCTAGTTTTACTACATTACCTATTCTAGTTTTCAGTAGCATCGAGAAGTCATCTAACTTAAAAATGGTCGGTAAATACTGTATTGAGAGTAGATCCTTCGAAATTGGTTGGCATTTTCTATATTGTTAAACCACTCATTTTATTCAATAAAAGACTGAAAATCCTCTACTGTCTTATTTTTACAGTATTGTATGTGTAATAAATAACTAAATAAATTGTTCAGGCACTCAGTTTGGGGATTTAATTAGTAGCATTGAACCTTACATTATAAATGAATTCAGGGCTCTTCTAAACTGATATGGATTCATTTTGTGTTGCTATTAAATCTATTTTGGCAGTGGCGTAACACTTCGTAACGTGATTTTCAATCAATGGTGAGATAATAGTTAGAATGTCGACACTAATTGTGGTAGTCTATAAATTCGCTGTTGCAAGTAGTATGTAGCGAGATGGATCGATGCACATAAGTGTCAGTCTTTACACTGAGTTTAATTAACTGAAACTAGAATGCTTTAACCCAAATACACTTTGTTTAATTTTTATTATTCCGACCATTATCGTTGTACATCGAATTATAATCGTTGTTCCCTTTCATTTGTGCAAGCATGCATTTAGTATTAGTAGCTACATATCCATTTTAAACATGGAGAACATACACTTATTTAAACTTATACTTGGTTTCACACATATGTCATATGTATCATTTCGATCGTACTGGTTATCAATATTATTAATTATTTACTTCCATTCGTGCAAACTTTGTGTTTGTGATTGTTTGCATATTTGTGTATGTTATTGCACTAACTTCATCGACTATATAAATTCACTCAACAATTCATGCAATGACTAGTAGCTACATTAATCCATACATTAGGCAATTCGACGCTTACACGCACACGCCTTCACACTCACACATACTTCCTACATCTTTTAGATCTTACACGTTTAGAGCCCCCAAATACTCTGGTACGACCGACGGGCAGTGTCAGCTCTCCCGCTTCAAATGCTCACACATGCTCACGCGTATACAGCTATTGCCAGGGAAGTCCTACTCACTGCCTTCTCGCGGCGAGGGTGTTTTTCCCACGAAATTGATATGACCATAAGCGAATGTCTGACGCTTTAACGGGTTCAATGGATATGGAGGATCCACCTAGGGGAGTTGAAAAACTCTGATTCCGAACCACTGGTACACGTGGGCTCCAGTATCCTGAGAGAACAAGTGGCGTATGAACCTAATGTTGGTCACCGACTACCATGGAACTGCATCTCCTGACGTTGCTCTACTGCCTCGTGGATTAGATCTGCAGGTCAAAGGCTCGGTACGTAGCCCTCTAAGAAAATCACCTGATTCGGTTTGCGCTCCCGGGCAGTATTCCAGCCCTCGCACAACTCAAATGATTTATGTGACGCATATATATTTGGTGCCTTCTTGTACCAATGTTTATGTGTTTAAATAATAATAATAATACACGTTTAAGTGTGCTGGTTACATTTTGTCTGAAGTATATCCATTTCGAAAGATGCTGTTTCAGACTTCTTGACATCATGTCAGTCAGTCAGCTACAACGTAGGACCAGGCACATATGTGCATCGGTCCAGGTTACCGTACCGCATCAGCACAACAAGATGAACACCGGATTCATAACAGTGGTTAGGTAAAAGGAGGTAATATATAAGAGAAAGATTGCATATAGAGATATAATACAAGAAGAAAGAATTGGTTCGTAGAAAGAAAGATATGAAGCGATTTTAATCTCTTAGTTTAAGGGAAGACAGGGAGTGTATACACCGACGCCATTGTGATCGATTCTGAGCCATGTCACCAAGAGTCTCCAACCATTGGTTACGATAGTCACGCGGACCCCAACCAAGTAGTTTGCATCTACCAACATGACTCAGACTAGAAGTTAGTGACTTCAAACACTGATGCCACGTTTTGGTTTGGCCGCCCCTAACTTTCTTCCAACCATTTCCAATTCCGGATAGCATTGCACGTCGTGGTAATCGGTGTTCAGGCATACGTAACACGTGACCCAACTATCTCAGTCGATGAAGATTCATAACCTCATCAACTGATTTACCATCATTTCCTAATACCCTGCGTCTAACCTCACTATTACTTACCCGGTTATCCCAGCAGACGCCAGCAATATTTCTAAGGCATCTGTGGTCAAATACTAGGAGCTTAAGAGTGTCTTCTACTCTTAATGGCCATGGTTCGCTGCCGTAAATTAAAACAGAACGAACTGCTGCGCAGTATACTCGTTTTTTTATTGATAGACGGATGTCTCGCCTTCGCCACAGGTGACGTAAGTTGGCAAAAGCCAAACGAGATTTCCGAATCCGTGCTGAGATTTCGTCAGACACTAACCCATTAGGGCTGATCAGACTTGCAAGATAAGCGAAGTTGTCAACGCGTTCGACTGCTTCACTCCCTATCCTTAGTTCAGGTGTTAACGCAGA